TGGCTTCCCCACCAGCTGGGGTGCAGAGCAGCGAGGCCCCTGATGGCCACCATAGGCAAGGTCCTGCAGTTTTCTTAATTCTATAAAGTAGGAACCCCAAGAAAAAGGAAGGAAATATAAATGTGGGGGGTAGCAGACTAAAACTTACTGTACAAAATATGTGGGGAATTGTTGCCCGTTGATAAAAGGTTCTCTTAGACAAGAGGAAGAGGTATTATTGGTATACATGTACACACGAGGTATCACTGATTCTAGACAACATTTTAGAACAGCCTTCTAGAACAAATCCTCCCTCTTTAGGGTAAAAAGAGACATCTAGCTATGTCGAGGCAGCCTTACACCCTTATTAAATCCACCAAACTGCACTGACCCACCCCCGGACAGCGAGGCTGCACGCCAGCAGGTGTGGGTGCTCAGGCTTGTGGGCCTTATTCTCGAGACCACCGGAGGCCAGGGTGACGACTCCATTTTGCCAGGAAAAAAGTCGACGCCCACAGAGTCAGGAACCCTCTCCCTCGTCCTTCCTACAAGCGCCGGCACATCCGCTGTTTGGTAAGTGCTGTTTGTGGGAGGCGAGGAGAAATTGCAATCTTGAAATAACACTGGCTGGAGTGCGGGCCCCGGCTGCTGGGCCAGCAGGCGGACAATTAATTACGAGGATCCCTCTTTGAGCCAGCGAGGGCCTGGCCAGGCCCGGTGTTTACATACACACCCGTCTGTTTAGGGCCTGCAAATCCGTGTCAGATGTTAATGGAACAGCATCATTTTTCTGCCGAGGTGGCATCCCCGGGGATGTTTGGATGAGGCGGTCGGCGGGACTCAGCCTGGGAAAGGCAGGCTGGCGGCTAAGGAGGAGGCCATTTGTCAGGCCGCCCGACAGCCTGGCCTGGACTCCCCTCCTGCCATCACTCCTCTGCGGACTGGCTGTCCCACCCAGCGCCCCTCTGTCCACTGGGTTCTGGGGACACCAAACTGAGTTGCGAAAAGTAAGCATCAATGCAACCAAACACGCCAAGCGGAGCAGCCTCACACCCCAGCCCTCGGGGTACAGCACACCATGGAAGACCCTCAGGCCGGCCCGGCTGCCTGAGGCCCAGCTGTGCCCTGCTGGACCCACCTCTGCCGGCCATGGTGGAGAGGCTGTGGGCCCAGTT